TGTGATATGATCATGTAAAATTTTTTGCCTTGACTTATAATTATGGACAAGATGTTGCTTTTACTTCTGAATATTTTCATGTAATGATCTTAATTTTGCGTCATTTAACACTAAAATAAAATCTTCCGTACTTTTATTCATTAGACATTACTAAAACGTCTAACGAAGTTAACCAATTATGTTTAGAAGATAAGACACAGGATTTTCTTAATGAAATTATTAAAGAAATGAATGATTTGATTAATGAGGGACTTTCAAAAGGCAAAGCTTTTCGTTCAATTCATGACGCCTTAGAACAATTTCTAGTAAAAAAAAAGCAATATCAATATAATATTTTTAAATATTGCTTAAAAAATCAATTAGATCCTATTGTTCAATTCATTCTTGCAATTTATTATCGTTATGGAAAATGGGTTGAGCATAAGATATTCATTCATTATCAAAAATCTGTTAATATGGGTAATTCTCTTGGTTTATTTGGAGTCGGAATTTGTTATCGAGATGGAATTGGAGTTAAAAAGGATAAACGTAAGGCATTCATTTATTTTCAAAAAACTGCAAATATGGGATACGCTACTGGAATATATCAAGTTGGATATTATTATCTCTATGGGCTTGGGGTTAAAATGGACCAACATAAAGCATTCATTTATTTTCAAAAATCTGCAGCAATAGGGAATGCTCCTGGGATGTATCATGTTGGATTTTGTTATCATAATGGATATGGAGTTAAAAAGGATGAACAAAAGGCCTTTGAATATTATTTAAAAAGTGCCGAATATGAATATTGTTGTGGAATGCATCAAGTTGGTTGGTGTTATCAGAAAGGAATTGGTGTAGAAAAGAATAAAGATTTGGCTTTTGAATGGTATTTAAAATCTGTTATTGCTAAACATGGCTGTGATATTATTCATAAAAACGATTTCCAATGGATAAAATACGATGATTTTAGAAATATTAAAGAAATAGTTAAAGGTAGGTTTTCAGTAGTGTATAAAGCATCATATGGAACATATGAAGAAGTTGCAATCAAGATCATTAAAGATTCGCATAAAAATAAAAATGATTTTTTAGATGAGGTATTTTATTTTATTTTATTTTTTTTCCGCGTAAATTTATGTTATTTATGAATTAATTAAATATAATTTGTTTACTTTTAGATAAAAGTGTATCATGAAATTGGTGAATACTATGGCATACTAATGAATAAAAGTACGGAAGATTTTATTTTAGTGTTAAATGACGCAAAATTAAGATCATTACATGAAAATCTTAAAGATATATTTAAATTGGAGTGGAAAATTAAACTAAAAATATTATGTGATATAATTTATGATCTATCAAATTTACATTCTAAAAACTTAATGCATCGAGATTTACAACCTGGCAATATTTTGCTAAAAGAACGATATGAAGCTTATATTAATTTAGATTCATCAACATCACTTGATGAAAAACAAAATAGTCATGTTTATGGAGTTTTGCCATATTTAGCACCTGAGGTCTTGAAAGGTGAACAGTTTACCCAAGCCGCTGATATTT